TGCTGCTGTGTTTTATGCCTCACATCAGCACGTGCTCAGGGGATGCTGAGGTTGCTCCTGAACCTGCAGGCTCCAGGTGAGGAATGTCACCAGAGCCCCTCTGGTGTCCTGGGTGGATGTGTCTGCACAGCACCCCTGTGGCCCCCCTTTGTGTACCCTCCCACCCCTTCTGCTTCCTCCTGCCCTACCAAAATAGCTCTAAATAGGAAATTTAAGGGGCCACACCATGAACTGGAAGGGGGAACTTCTCAGCTCCAAAAAAAACCCCCACGATGTCAGAGGAGTTTTAAGCCCTCCCGGTTCCCCACAAGCAGGCCTGGGGAAATGCTTCTTGCCACCATGCTGCCACCAGGGAGGAGCCATTATTATTAATTATTGGCTAATTAATTACAGGATGGAGAGTTGGGCAGAGATAAACTTAATGAAGTTCAGCAAAGGTAAGTGTAGGGTCCTGCTCCTGGGGGGAAAGGATGACCCCCAGCACAGGTTGGGGGTGACTAGAGAGCAGCTCTGCAGAGAAGGACCTTGAGTCTTGATGGGTGACAAGCTGACCACAAGCCAGCCGTGTGTCCTGGGGCCAGGAGGCCAATGGGATTCCCAGAGTGCATCGGGAAGAGCGTGTCCAGGTCAGGGAGGGGATCCTGCCCCTCTGCTCAGCCCTGGGGAGGCACATCTGGACAGCTGTGTCTGGGCCCCACAGTTCAAGAAAGACAAGGAGCTGCTGGAGAGGGTCCAGCAGAGCCACAAAGAGGGTGAAGGGTCTGGAGCACCTCCCTTATGAGGAAAGACTGAGGGAGCTGGGCCTGGTCAGTCTGGAGAGGAGAAGACTGAGAGGGGATCTCATCAATCCATACAAATATTTCCAAGAGGTGTCAGAGGATGGTGCCAGACCCTTTCCAGTGATGCCCAGAGACAGGATGAGGATCAATGTCCATAAACTAAAATGCAAGTTCCACCTCAACACGAGGAAGAATTTCTTTCCATGGAGGGTGTCAGAGCACTGGAACTGTTGCATAGAGAGGCTCCTAGAGAGGGAGACATTCCAAACCTGGATGCATTCCTGTGTCAGCTGCTTCAGGTGACCCTGCCTTGGCAGGGGGGTTGAATCTGGACAGTCTCCAGAGGTCCCTTCCAACCCCAACTATTCTGTTGGATTCTGTGAAATGCAAATTCTACTTTCAGCATAGGCAAAGCGACCAAAACAGCTCAGAGCAGGAAGATCTCCCCATTGCTTTCATCCCACACTGTCCCAGGCATGGATGCCCAGGGAACACCAGCGAGGCTCTCGCCAGCTCCTGCCCATCCCAGCTCTCCATGGCTTGGCTCTGCCCAGCCACCAGCAGCAGGAGAGTGAGGCTCTGAGGCCTAATTACAATTGTTGACAGGGAAATTATGGCCACACACGCAAAATTAGAATATAATTGTGTTAGGGAAATGTTTCGTCTTCTCCCTGTCATGCCCAGGATGGGAGGGCAGAGGGGGAGCACAGGGAGAGGGGAGGTGCTGCTGGGAGGCCTCGCAGTGCAAGGGAACAGCCGGGCTTGGGGTGCTGTGGGGTGACACCAGTCCCAGGGGCCATTGGCAGAGAGAAAGGGCAGCAGAAAAGGGGGAATGGCTTCTTTCTACCGAGTGGCAGCGATGAGGCAAAGCTCCCCCTCCTCGGGAGCAGGGGCAGTTCATGGCACAGGCAGGGGGGTGGCATTGCTGTTGTCCCGTGAGCCAGGGCTCAGCCTTGTGCTGATTCCCAAACCCAGCAACACCCAGTGGCCACCCCATCTGTGCCCTGCACTCCTTTCCTTCCCAAGCCCAGGCTGCCCTTCCCCTGGCCGGGCTCTGGTCAGGGCTGGCTGCCTGTGGGGAAGTGCCAAGGCCAACGGTGATGCCCATCCTGCCATGCCATGGGTGGAATCCTTGTGGGATGTGCCCTGAGCAGCTGGATCCCACCTCCCACAGGAATGTGCTCCTCCTGGGGGGCTGCAGATGCCTGTGTGTGAGTGTGGTGACTGGCAGGTCCTACTGCATGTGCCTGAAGGGAACCTACAGGAAAGATGGAGAGGGACTTTGGACAAGGGATGGAGGGACAGGACAAGGGGAATGGCTTCCCACTGCCAGAGGGCAGGGATAGATGGGATATCACCACTGTGAGGGTGGGGAGGCCCTGGCACAGGCTGCATAGAGAAGCTGTGGCTGCCCCATCCCTGGAAGTGTCCAAGGCCAGGTTGGAGGGGGCTTGGAGCCACCTGGGCTAGTGGAAGGTGTCCCCACCCATGGCAGGGAGTTGAAACAAGATGGGCTTCAAGGTGTCTTCTAGCCCAAATCATTCCATGATTCTGTGATTCCACGTGCCCTGGATCGGCACCTTGCTGCCAGCCCACAGCCCCATCCTCGCCGAACTGGGGTGGGGGCCATCCTCACCCCCGGGATGTCCATCCCCAATGACAGGAGATGACTTTGGTCACTGACCCCGTTTAAATGCAGGCAGTTCTTTCCACTTGAAAAAAAAACAAATAAAAGCCAAATGGCCCAAAGAAGGTGCAGGTGACAGCTGGTCCCGGGCCCGGCTGCAGAGGGGTCAGCACAGGGAAAAGCAAACAGCTTTGCTACCAACAGCTTTGGAGCTGCCCAGGCAGGGCAGGAGCACCAGGCCTTGGCCAGGCAGAGCAGCCCAGCTCCTCTGTGACTCTTCCTTCGGGACCCAGGGTGGATTCAGGGAGATGAGGTGAACCCCTGCCCACACCTGCAGCAGCCACGTGCTCCTGCCTCTGCTCCTGCTCCTGAACCAACTGTAGTGGGGGCAAAGCACCATCTCTTCCCCGGGGGCTGAGGGGACCCCTGGCTCCCCAGCCCGGGCTCCTGCTCCCCAGCTGGAATGTTAGAAACCTGCTGGGTAAACGGGAGGGGGAAGCAGCTCCCGGGGCACCAGGGAACGATCCTGCCAAGCGAGCACCAGGCTCCCTCACCCCCGTGAGCCAGGCAGACGTTCCACATCCAACACACGCTCCACGTCGGCACCTTTGATCCAAAGCACCTGCCAACTGCTCCGGAGTGCCGGCACCGGCTGCAACGGCAAACTGGGCAGGGAAGGGGGGGGAAGGTCTGGCAGTGATACGGGCAGTGGGATCACTGCACACACAGCAAGGTGCTGGTGACACAGAGCTGTGTGGTGTTGCTGTGCCAGAGGGAAGGGTTTGCATCCACAGGGACCCAGATGGGCTGGAGAGCTGGGACTGTGAGACCCTCAGGAAGTTCAATGAGGCCAAGTGTAAGATCCTGCACGTGGGTCGGGGCAATCCCAATCACAACACAGGCTGGATAGAGAATGGGTGGAGAGCGGCACTGGGAAGAAGGACTTGAGGGTGTTGGTGGATGAAAACCTGAACATGGACATGCCCTGGCTGTGTGCCCTGGGCTAATCCCACAGCGTGGGCAGCAGGGAAGGGGGGGATTCCGACCCTCTGTCCACTGGGTGAGACCCCCCTGCAGAGCTGCCTCCAGCCCTGGGGAACAACAGCACAGGGATGTGGAGCTGCTGGAGAGTCCAGAGGAAGCAACAGGGATGCTCCAAGGGCTGGAGCCCCTCTGCTCTGGAGCCAGGCTGGGAGAGCTGGGGGGGTTCACCTGGAGAAGAGAAGGATCCAGAAAGATCTGAGAGCCCCTTGCAGGGCCTAAAGGGGCTCCAGGAGAGCTGGAGAGGGACCGGGGACAAGGGATGGAGGGACAGGACAAGGGGAATGGCTTTCCACTCCCAGAGGGTAGGGTTAGATGGGATATTGGGAAGCAATTCTTCCCTGTGAGGGTGAGGAGGCCCTGGCACAGGTTGCCCAGAGCAGCTGTGGCTGCCCCATCCCTGGAAGTGTCCAAGGGCAGGTTGGATGGGGCTTGGAGCAACCTGTTCTAGTGGAAGGTGTCCCTGCCCATGGCAGGGGGTGGAATGAGATGGGCTTTAAGGTCCCTCCCAACCCAAGGGCTCTGTGATGACCCCACGATGTAACGCAGGGACTCTCCATCCCCAGCCCCGCTGTATCGCAGGCCCTTCCCGAGGCCGGGTCAGACCCGTCCAGGCCTCACAGCGCTCCGGAGCGACCCCAGATCCCACAGTGGGGCTGCCCCGGCCCCACACCCCGGGGGGACCCGCCGTCCCCAGCGCCGCCGAAGGTGCCCAAGGTCCCCCGAGGGGGCAGCCGGGCCGGGCCGGGCCGCGGCCGCCACGCAAGACCTCCCGAGCCCCCCCGGCCCCTCGGCGGGGCACCCGGGGGTCCGCGGGCTGTGCAGCAGCTGCTGCCGGGCGGGGGTCCCGTCGCGGGACCCCAGGGGGACCCCCCGGCCCTGCCCACCCGACCCGCAGGGGCCGTGCCGGCGGCGCGGGGGAGCTGCGGGCGGCGACGACAACCAGCGGCTGCCCCCGCCCCGCCCCCGCGCTCGGTGGGCGGGGCCGGGAGCAGAGCGCGCTATCATTGGCCGAGCCGCCTGCCACTCAGAGGTGCGCGGCCTTCCCATTGGGCGGCGCCCCGCTGCTTTATCAGTCCATCGCGCGGAGCCCCCCGTGTCGTCACAGTTCTGCTGACCCGTTCGCCCGTCCCCCTCCGCTAGGAAACATAGTCCCCCCATCCTGGCGGTGTCCCGCCGCGCCCCCCGCACCCCCGCGCCTCCATCCCGCCGGTCCCGCTGCGGCGGCGCCCGTGCCGGTGCCGCGGGGTGTGCGTGGCGAGGGACACCACCCCGCTCTCCTCTGCCTGTGCGGGCGGCGGAGGGATACGGCGGGGGGGGCGGGGCGTGAGGACGCGACTCGGCCGGGCAGGGGAGGGGGGGGCGTCAGAGGCGGGCGGGGGGGCGACGACGAGGGGGGAGCGTCCGCCGCCGCCGCCGCGGGGGGAGACCATGCTGGGGCCGCGGGGCCGGCGGGCGGGACAGCGGCGGGAGGCGGAGCGGCGGCGGCAGCCCCGGCGGCGTTAGGGCCCGGTTGGCGGGGCGGGGCCGCGGGGCGGTCCCGGGGCGCACGCGCCGCCCGGTGCGGGGCGATCGCGCCGCTTTTCTCGCTACATTGTATCCGCCGGCGGCGGAGAACAATAGGCGCCGCCGCCGCCGCCCCCCGGCCCTGGGCGCCGCGGCCGCCCCCGCCCCCGCCGCGACCCCCGCGACCCTTCATGCGCTTCCCCTGCCCCCGGGCGCGCCGGGCCTGGAACAGGTAAAAAAAAAAAAAACCAAAAAACTCGAACATAAAAAAAAAAAATGTATTTATATAGAATAGTAAAATAGTAACCGAAGCCGGCCGCGCCGCCCCCCGGCGCTGCGCGGAGTGCGCGTCCCGGCGCTGCCGGCGCTGGGGGTCCCGGCGCTGCCGCCCCCTCCCCGCCTCGCTCGGTCCGTGCGGGACGGGACGGGCTCGGCGCTATTGTCCCCTCGGCAAAGTTTGCCGGGGCCGGGGGAAGGGGGGGCGGCAGCGGCGGGGCCGGGCCGGGGGGCCGTGCGGGGCGGCTGGAAGGGGGTCCGCGGGTCCCCGACGTGCGGGGGGGCGGGGGCCGGTCCGCGGTCCTGCCGCGAACTTCAGCCCGCGGCAACCCCCTCGCCCCCGGGGGTCCCCGCGCCCCTGCCCGGCTCGGGAGGCTGCACGAGCCGCAGGACCCGCCGCGGGGGCGGCCGCTTCGGGCTCTTGGAGGCTGGGAGGGGGCTCGTGGGGGCCGCTGCGCCCTCCTGCTTCCTCCGCTCCCTGCCCGGGCACGGGGGGTGCGGGTGGGGGGCCCTGACCGACTTCACCCACCGTGGGACCCCCGGCCCGGCCCGCGCCTGTCCCGGGGCAGCCGAGCCTTTGTCCGGGCTGGGGAGGGACCGCGGGGGCATCTGCGGCGGGTCCCCGGCCCCGTACCCCCGGGGCTGCTTTGGGGTTAGAAAGTGTGCGTGGGGAATAAATTAAAATAAACTGCCCGGCCTGACTTTGGGTATTGTTCAAGTTGTCCCCGGGTGCTTTGAGGGGGGCTGCAAAGTGATGCCCCCGCTCCCCGGATTCTCCGGGGTCTCATCTCCCCCTGGCCCCACTCAAGGCACCGGGGCATGAGGTTGGCAAAGTGGCTTTAAAAGCAGTGACCTGCTGCACTGATGACACTTTTAAAAAAAGGGCTTTGCAAAGAAAATAAAAAGAGAAAAAAGAAATCCCCTGGATGTTTTTTTATAGTGGTGAAGAGTTTTCACGTGCTGGGCTGATTTCAGTGTTTTTTATAAAACTTCGTTGAAATGTAGTGGCTGAGCCTACAAATGCTTTGGATCACATAGAGTTTTTTTGTTTTGTTTTGTTTTGTTTTTTTACCTTATGATTAATGAGTTAAATTTATTGGCCAGCTGCCCTTTGTAACCATGAATGAGTTCTTAAAAAAAAAATAAAAGGGCCAAAAAAAAAAAGAAGGGAATCTTTTATCTCATCCCAGGCCTCTCTTCCTCCCTCCCAAAGAAATATTTTTCTTTTACAGCGAGCTGGCCAAAAAGATCAATCTCCCTTTTGAAATAAAAAATAATCTGTAAAATTAGGAAGAATAATATTTACCTATCTCGCAAGGTGCCCTGAGGGCTTTACTTTTGCCACAACACTCCGAAAACAAAAATTTTTTTTTTTGTGGTTTCCCGTCCCGTTTGGGAGCGGAGAGTTTTCAGTTCTCACTGAGCGCAGAAGAGCTCGGCTGGGCATCCCCAAACACAGTCCCTGAAACAGCAGCTGCAGGTGCTCGGCGACCCGGAGGAAAGAGCTGTCACACCACAGATTTTTTTTTTTTTTTTTTTTTTTGTTTTTTTTTTTTGCTTGCTTTTTTTTTTCCCCCTTCACTTTTTTTTTTTTTTTTTTTTTTTAACCAAAACTAGGCAAGGACAAGAGAGCCTCCTGCGGGGAGCGAGCGTGGGGGGCAGCGAGGGGGCGAGCCGAGCCAGACAAGCGCCTGAGTGATAACTTGCCTGAACCCTTTGATCAATGAGTTGACTATTTTTTTTTTTTTTTTTCCTTTTTATTCTACACCCCCCCCCCCCTTCATTCGCCACACGCCAGGAACAGAATTGGCCCGAACTAGTGGAATTGGCAGCAAAAAACTAACATACAAGTGTGTCTGGTCAATAGAGCGCTTGTTCCTGCCGCTGGGTGCTGTGTGAGGACTCCGACTGTGCTCTCCGAGGAGGGTTGGACGCCGGGGACATGCTGAGGGTTCTTCTTTTCTCGCCCCCCTCGCTCTGTCTTTTTAAAATATTCATCAGTGGGGTGGGTAGTTTGCTCTAGTCATTAAAATCTCTCTCTCCCCTCCCCCTCGCTTTCTCCAGGACTGCCACTGTTGAGTCTGTGGGAATATGAATCAGCAGCAGCAGAGAATGGCTGCAGTTGGGACAGACAAAGAGCTCAGTGACCTGCTGGACTTCAGTATGGTGAGCGAGCGCGGCCGGGGGGCTCGGCAGGCCCCGGGGCTGGGAGCTGCACAGGGGAGGAAATGTGAGCCTGTAAATTGGACATGATGGGTTTCAGATGTGCCGTGTTTGTGTGCGTGCACATGTGCTGCAACTTGTTTATTTTCAAGTTAAAGCAAAGCCTCTGCCCCTCCTCTCTCCCCCCTCTCCCCCTCAAACGTGTGTTATTTCCTTGCAGGGAGCGCAGAGAGGGTTTTTTTTTTTTCTGGATGGGAAATTTTGGGGGAATTAACGGAGTTGTGTGTTCTCTGTTTAAATGCTCACTGGGTGACTGTTTCTGCAGCCATGCAGAGATGTAACTTCAGTAGCTGATTAATCAAGCTTTTTTCCTCTCCCCAGATCCAGACTATTAAACTTTTGCTCCCACAGGTTATTTTGTCACAGTTTGAAACGTGTCCAAGCTCTCCGGCGCGTTATTTTTGCAGGAGTTGGACACTTGTGCTCCCCATGCTCTGCTCCTCTGTATCCTGGAAACCTTGAGCTGCGTTTAGGAGCTGTTTATTTTCAAAGCAACAGGACCTAAAGAGTTCCCCCCGAAGGGTGTGCACAGCTCAGAGGGAGGAGAAGTCCCTTTAGTCACGGCAGAGGGGGGTCAGTCCCTGGCACGTCCCGAGTGGCGCTGCCAGCGGTGCTGCCTCTCCTTGGCAGGTGACTCGTGGAGGGCAGAGCTGGTGTTCGAAAGCAAACAACTGTCTGTTGGGTTCCTCTGTTGTGTGCTGCACCCTCATGGCACTCAGAGCGTGTGCCTTGCTGTTTAGATAAGCAAACGTGCTGCAGAGATAGAAACAACAGCCCCAGGAGGGGGAATAGCCAGGAGTGTCACCGCTGTGGCTCTGGGCTGGCCTGGGTCACCCAGCCCACGGCCCTGCTGGGCTGGATGTCCTGCCCCTTGGAGAAGGGACTAAAAGTGGTGGCAGAGCTAAGGTCACCTGCAGTCCTGGTACCTGTGACACCTGTGGATGTGCTGAGGCTCATCTGCTTTTCTGCATCCGTGCCCTGAGGTTCAGCAGCGGGACATAAACCTTTCTGTACAGCTGGGGTTTGTACCTCTTCGTGCTGGTGGGGAGGTCTCTCAGCCCTCACAAGAGCAATTCTCCTGCAGGAGAGGCCCAGTTCTCCCAGTTTCATCCTTCTGTTGGGAGGCTGGTTCTGTGAGTTTACCAGTGATGGACTTTTGCAGTGGGATGTTTTACAGTGGGTGCAGGGGCTGCAGTGACAGTGTTCCTGTAAAACCAGGAGTCAGGTCAGGGCTTGCTGGGGAGCAGCAGTGTGGTTATTTGTCCCTCTCAGAGGTCCTGGAGGTTGGCAGGAGCCCTGGAGCCTTCCATCTCCTGCACTGGGAGTTTTGAACTGCACTTAGGGTCAGTAACCCAGAATCTGCTCCTCGGCCGGGGCTGCAGCAGCTTCCAGTTTGTTTTTTCTCCCCTTGGAAAAAAATCCAATCCCACTCACCATTCAGAGCTTGAAAAAAAACCCCAAGACCTTTTCAAACCTAACGACTCATCCTCATTTGCATGCTCAGATCTGTATTCCCTGGAGGGGCCCTGACCTGTTCCCTCTGTACACGAGTGTTCCTGTCCTTGAAGATGAATCCACACCAAATTTGGGTTCAGATTCGGTGCTTTTACACTGGTGTAAACCCGGGAGGGACCAGGACTGGTCCTGTGTGGGTGTAAAGGCTCGTGCAGCAGCACCGGGGGCGGCTGCTCTTGCAGCAGCAGGGCCTGCAAATGTCATTTGCCAGCAAATGATTCGGAGACATTCCCTCCAGGATCAGTCGGCCGATGGGCTCCGGCGCAGCCTGGACCAGAGCCAGCTCTGTTTCACAAACCCTCATCTCCACACACCCTTCTCCTGAGTTTGCATAAAGGCAACATTAACATCTCTCCTCCAGGATGAGTAGCTGAAATGGAAAAGCTTCCTAGACTGTACATGGTGGGTCCATCAAAGAGGCTCCTCCATGATTTGCTCTCTCTGTGTCCTTGGGATACAGGATTTTTGTCCACAAAGCTCCCTCTTCCAAATATATTTATATTTTAATTTGAATAAACAGGAGTGGAGCATCAGCTCTGCAATCCTCTCCAGGAGAGGAGATGGGAAGGAAATCTAGAGATATTCAGAGCAGCTGGAAGCATTTGCTTCAGATCAGCATTTGGATTGCTTTTTTCTAGGGAAGATGTGCTCAGCCCCAGTAGCCTGTGGTCCAGCCCTGAGCGGTGTTTTGCTGTGGGAATTTTAAGATTTGGCCATAATGGGTTTGCACAGTGTGGTCTGAGTTCCTGGGCCGTTAAATGGCAGGGTCGTGTGAGATGCTATAAAGTGGGCTTGCAGTCCTGTCCATAAATAATACCATTGCATAGATCCTGAGCTCCCCCAAAGCTTTGGGCAACACAGTTTCCCAATAAGGCAAAAATCAAGGGATTCTCTATGTGAGCTGGAACCAAAGGCCCAGCAATGCAGCCTCATGGCTGCTTTGGGGTGTGCATGGCAGCACACTTACCTCTACCCTTGAACAAATTGCCTTTTATGATTGCCCCAAAGTGCAGGTAATTTGTAAGCTTGCCTTCACCGCTGCTCCCTGGCAGCCAGCCAGGACGGGCTGGCAAATCTGGAGAGGAGCTTTCCAGAAAGCATCCTGCACATCCACCCGAGTGGGCAGCTCAGCCCACTGATTAGGCTGGGCTTTGGGGGCTGCCAGGTCAGTCTGGCAGGTGCAGGCTTCGTGCAGCAGGAGCTGCCCTTGGCCTGTGCTCCTGGGAGATGATGGACCACAAGGACTTGGATATTAAGGAATGGTTCTTCCCTCAGAGGGTGCTGGGGCACTGACCAGGCTCCCCAGGGCAGTGGGCACGGCCCCAAGGCTGCCAGAGCTCCAGGACAACACTCTGAGGGCCAGGGTGGGATTGTTGGGGTGTCTCGTGCAGGGCCCAGAGTTAGACTGGATGATCCTTGCGGGTCCCTTCCAACTCGGGACATTCTGCTGTTCTGTGACTCGTGGTTATTGGTTATCCCAGGCCATCTGTTCCGCTGTTGGTGTGTTGTGGGAAGGTGTGGGCAGGTATCCTGGCTGGGCTGGGATGCTCCAAGGGCAGGGGCACCCCTGGGCATGGCCGAGCTGGAGCAGAGCAGCCCCGGGGGGGTCTGTCGGTGCCGCCGAGCGCCCGCGGAGCCGGAGAGCGGCAGCGGCTCGGTGCCAGCCGGGGGCTCTGGCAGGAGCGAGATGCTGTTAACAGCCATGATTATTAGCAGAGTATTAACCATATGCTGCGGGGAGGCTGCTGTCAGAGGGGGTTTCTGGCTCTGTGAGACGGTGCAGGGTGGGCAGAGGCCTGAGCAGTCGCACAGGACCTGCCGGCTCATTTCCCCGCCGCGCTCCGGCCCCGTGGCTGCTCCAGCCCTGGGAGCGGGGGTGGAATGCCTGGCTGCTGGCAGCAAGCAGGGCTCAGGCAGCTCCTCCTGCCATGCTGGAGGATGCTGAAGCTGTGCCCTGCTCCAGCCAAGGCCCGATGCCTGCCCTTCCCTGATAAACCTCTCACTTTTGTTCGGAGCGGAGCAGTTTAAAGTTTGACTCCAGGCCGCAGTGGGTGTTTGGGGCCGCAGTCAGGAAGGTCTGTCTTAGGTGAACACAGATAGAATGTCCTCCTGCTGGCAGTGGGTTTTGAGCTGAATTCCCTCTTCTCCCCAGATTAACAGCTGGATACTTTGCACGCTGCAAAATAGATTTCAGGTTTGGAGTTCAGGCTTGAGGTTGGGTCAGCCTGGAGTTCAAAAAGTGGGAGAGGGGAGAAAATGAAAACTGATTTAGTTTGAAAAGTGATGCACTGGTAGAAGTGCACAATATGTGAAATGCTGCTTGATGTTCCTTGTGTCTGGCAAATTCTCTTTCTTGCCTATGAGTTTGGTGGTGAAAGTTTGGGGTGTCTTGGCTGTAACCTCCCCGGGGGAGGGTGCGGGTGTTTGGATCCTCCCATGTGCTGGATTTGCCCTGGGAGAAGTGGATGGAGAATAAATTCTTTGGGAGGGGTGGAAATAGAGCTACAAGGGTGTGCAGAAGTTGTCAGCTCTCAGGGAGGCTGGAGGTAGGACTTGAGAAACCAAAGACAGCGACTTAAGATGGGGGATTTTACATAACCGTTTCAATCTACATTTATTCAAATCTAACAAAGGCCAAGTAATGACCCAATTACAACCCCTGAGAGCTCCTGTCTGGGTCCCTCCTCAATGCCTGGGTCCCTCCGTAGGTGCCAGCTCCGGTTCATCTCCTCCCTGCCCCCCCCCAGTTTATTTTTAAAGCAGCATTTTAAAAGCAGAAAGGAAATTTGCAGTGGGTGGATGAACTTTGCCTGCGAGCGACGCACGCCAGCGAGGGCAGGCGGCACTTCACGTATGACTTGTGCCCTGTGCCGGCTCCTCGGGGCTGCAGCCCACACCCCGGGGGAAAAAGAGGCTGGGAGCAAGAAAAAGAAAAACCCCAAACACTTCCTGGGGCTGCCAGGTGATGAGTGTGGAGGGGTAACCCGGGGTTCCCCCCTCCCCGTCACCCTGCTTGAACGACTGGAGCTGTGCCGGGGGGGTCGGGATGGATCTCAGGGAAAGGTTCTTCCCCCACAGGGTGCTGGGGCACTGCCCAGGCTCCCCAGGGCAGTGGGCACGGCCCCAAGGCTGCCAGAGCTCCAGGAGCGTTTGGACAACGCTCTGAGGGACAGGGTGGGATTGTTGGGGTGTCCTGTGCAGGGCAGGGGTTGGACTGGATGATCACTGGGGGTCCCTTCCAACTCGGGACATTCCAGGATTCTGTTCTTTGGCATCCCCACGTGCCCTGGTGTGGGAAGGGGTCTGTGACTCCTGAATCCCTTGGGGAGGGAGAGTAGGAAGGTGTTGCATCAGCCTCAAAACACCTCTGAAAGCAGGCAGAGGAGGGGAGGGCATCCCCGGGGTGTGGGGGTGTTTTAGGGATGCTGGGTGTGCTGGGGATCACCAGGGGTGGGGGGGACCCACCTTCTGTTCTGCAGAAGCAGAAGGCTCTGGGTGCACAGTGGAACAAGGCTGTTCATTTTCTCCACTCCTGTTTGGTGCTCAAACCTGGGGTTTTTCAGCCTCAGCAAGTGCTGAGCAGAAATGCTCATGGAAACGAGCCAGCAGTGCCTTGGGGTTTCATTTGTTGGGGTTTTTTTTATTATTTCTTTTTTTGGGTGCCCGGGTTCATCGTGCATTCCCATCCCCTGCACATGCAGACCTGCCCCTTGGAAAGGGAGTTCCTAACCACTTAATCCTCTTCCCTACCTTGAGTGAGCACAGCCCGGGTGGGACCGGCCCCATAAATTCCATTTGCAGTAGTTGTGGAGGTCTTTGCAGAAACCACCCCCTGCCCTGCAAGGGAAGCCCTGCAGCAGTGCAGGGAGGAAGGTTGGCTGCAACCTTCGGTGTGTCAGGGTTTGTTTTTATTTTCTAGCCCAACTTCCTGAGGAAACAAGTGTCATCTGATGGTGGGGCTGCCGGGCCACCCCAAATACCTCTGGAGCCCCTCGGGTGGGCAGCAGGGGCTCCCCTCGTGGGGCACCTCCATGGTGGGGGTCCCTGGGCAGCCCAGTGTGGGCAGGTGCTGGCAGCAGTGCCAGGATGCTTAAACACTGTTTACACCTTTGTTTAAATCCGTATATAGAACATCTACACCCCGTGCATGCATATATATGATCCCAAATTTGTGCTCTTTATGAATGGCAGTTGGTTCCTTAACTGCTCTCTTTGCATCTCTACCACATTTAACTGTATTTTGTTGGTTTTGGTTTTTGTTGTTTTTTTTTTTCTCTCCCCAGCATTTGTGAAAACAAAGCTGGGCAGACTGCTCTGCACAAAGGAATGTTTCTGACCACAGCCAGACATCAGCTATGTCAGGGCATGAAACGCTGCATTTCTGTAGGCTCTTGTGCCATTACATTGTTTAATCTTCAAAGCATTAAACTTTTGAGTTACTCAGACATTACAAAGCTAAAAATAATAAAAATTCAAATGACTTGGTGGTGAAAGTATCTTGAGTAGAAAAAGGATATTAAAATGTTAATTCACTAAACGTTTTCCCACCAGTTGTTTTATTGGCTGGAGCTCCATTTGTGCGGAGGAGAATTAGTTTTCTTTTCTGCTGCACGCAGGTGCATGTAAATTATTAAATAGCAGCTTCTGAAACTCTCCCAACTTTTATTAAAAATATTTATACAGGTTAGGTGACGAGGTGTGCAGTGTTTTTGAGGAAGCTCCTGGCAGGAGAAAGCTCAGTTGTGATGCTGAAGCTGCAGCAACAGAGCAAACAAGTCCCCAGAGCGACTAATACCGTAAAATAGGTTCATTTTTGAAACCTTTGCACTTGGAGTAGCTTCTCCCCCCAGCCCCCGGGGCTGTGTTGGGTCCTGGGGCTGCTGGAGCCCCTGGAGCAGCGGGGTGGGAGCTGCCCTGGGAGCTGGAGGGCTCATCCCGCGGGGCTGGCGCCGAGCTGGGCACCGCCAGATCCTGGGGCTGACTCATCTCTGCCTGTGCCAGCCAGACCCACGGGCAGCCCACGTCCTGCCCAGGCACTGTGTGTGTCCAGGGAGACAGGATGAGACCTGGAGTGCTGTGGGAGCTGGGATGGGGAGGGGTGAAATGAGCTTTTCAGGGTGCTGCAGGGTCGTTTTTCCGCTGGGTTTCTGTGAGTGGGGTCGGCCCCGTGGGCACCTGCAGGGAGGGCCCTGGTGAGCGAGTTAGGGAAGAACCTGCTGGGTTTGACCACAGCACTGATGCTTCTGGGCTGGGTTTTGGTTGCACCCAAGGAACCAGGCACGCTGTGGACACAGGAGCATCACAGAATCACAGGGTGTGCTGAGTTGGAAGGGACCCACAAGGATCAGCGAGTCCAACTGCTGTCCCTGCGCAGGACCATCCCCAGGAGTCACACCCTGTGCCTGGGAGCACTGTCCAAACGCTTCTTGAACTCTGTCTGACTTGGTTTTGTGACCCCATCCGTGTCAGGTTGTGTGTGTTAGTGCAGAGCTGCTCCCCTGCCCCTCCTGCAGCTGATCCATGGAGCAGGGACACAAGGAGAGGGAAGTTTTTTGCATCAATAAAGTGCTCCTCTTCCCCCTTTCCTCCCCCAATCTGACCCCTTTGCAGCAGCACAGTAAAACTAACAGACTGAAATCTCTTTCTCTTCCCTTCTCTCTCATCTTCTTGTTTTTCTAGATGTTTCCCCTGCCAGTGGCTAATGGAAAAAACAGACCCACGACCCTAGCGAGCACTCAGTTTGGAGGATCAGGTACTGTCATCTTACTTTTTTTTTTCCCTAATACCATAATGATTCTCGCAATAAATTTGTGTTTGGTTCCAGAGACACCAAAGGAGGGGTTGGTGTAGTTCTGTTGTGTGTTTTTCTGGTGATGGATCTGCTGCTGTTTCTCTGGATGATTTTCTCGTTGCTCCGTGTGTCTCCGGGTGGGCAAAGCTGCTCTTGCTGATCTGTCTCCTGTTAAGAAGTTGCTGCCTGAGCTGGAGATTGTTGTCCCACCGCTCCAGGATCCTGGGAGCAGACATTCAGGGCTGTTCTCTAAGCTGCTTAGACATGTCTGCACTGCCCTGGAAGACTTTTGCTGTTCCTTTTTGAAGACGTGGTGGTGGTGGTTCATTCCTGGGGCTCGGCTGCAGTTTGGGTGTCTGCTCCTTGCAGTCCCTCTAGAGGCTCCCTGGGTGGGATCTCGGCATTCCCAAAGGGATCTTGTGAAACCCTCCTGGCTGGATGCTTCCAGGGTGCCAAGAGGGGGCCAGGGATGCCAACATCCCAGGGCTTTGGGAGCAGGGCAGCTCTGGGGAGGAGGGGGCTGGTGATCTGGGTGTGATGGGGGACTCTGCAGGGTGTGTGGCTTCAGATGTCTGATGGGAAATGTGCTGCTCGTGGGTTTGAGGCTGAAGTGGAGAATTCCTGGGCAGTGCTGTGCTGGATTTTTGATGCCTGAGGAGGCTGTTCCGTGCGGGGCTCACACGGCCCCTGACACGTGGGAAGTTCCTTCGTTTGCCCTTCTTGCTGAACACCTTGTGGATGGTTAAAACTCAGCCTTCTCTACCATGGGCTGACTCCAGCTGTCCAGGGAAACCCCTGGCCACGTGGAACAGCCATGCTGTGCCATCCTGGAGATTTCTGCGGAGCACCTTTGGTGCCCCAGCATCAGTGTTGTGGGGCACTGGGGAATGTGCAGCAGCAGGATGGGGGGCTGTGCCCTGCCCTGCCCTGCCCTCGTGCCCTCTTTGACCAGGGAAATGTGCTGCTTTGGGATTGAGCTGTTCAGCTGCACGTCAAACACTTTTCCAGGGAGGGAAGCTGTTGAGTGGGCTGGAGGAAATTGGAGGGGGGAAAGCTCTGGGGTTAACCCAGATGGAAGCCGATCTCTGCAGCGAGTGTTCCTTGCGCGACTTCTGCTGCTAAAACAATCCCACAAAAGACGAGCTCCACGCTGGGGGAGAGGAGCAATGGCATTCATGTGTTTCCTGCTCGGAGCCTGGCCTGGCTGCCGGGCCTGTGGTGCTGGCCAGGAGCAGAGGCACAGCCGGACCCCCCCTGCTTGGCTCGGCAGCCGCCGGAACGGCACCAAACCTCTGCCCCCCCCACCCCCTGCTCTGCTTTCGGGTGAGTGAAAGGTAACGTTGACACCACCCTTCCTCTGGGCTGCTGCTCTCTGGGGCTGCCTGGGAGAAGCCGTGAAAGCAGAGCACTGCTGTTATACAACTGGGCTGGAGGACATTGCACAATCCCTGCTGTCCCAGGCGTGGGCTCTGCCGAGGCTCCCTCGTCCTGCCATGAGCATCCTGGGTTGGGAATTCAGCTCAGGGAAAGGTTTTGCTCCAGCAGCAGAGTTATCCCTGGGGCAGCCACCCTTGGCCTCACCTCAGGGCGGGGGATACGTTTCGTGTTGGCTTTGGGGATTCTCCCTGTCCCTGAATCTTTGGCTTTTTGCTGGTGGGGTGAATGACTGCAGGAAGACATCAGTGAGATGTTCCATGCTGTAATGGTTTGATTTAGGCCTTCCCTGGCAACCAGGGGTGTGCTCTGCCTGTTAGAAGGATCCAAAGGGTCTAAACAAGGTCCTAGATAGTGGCAAGTGGTTGTTTTCATAGTTTGTAGATGTTCTACCTTTATTCACTAATAGTCAGCAAGGTGCAATCAGGTGCTAGTTAAAATCATAAAATCATGGAGTTCCACCCCCTGCCATGCCTTCCACTAGACCAGGTTGCTCTAAGCCCAGTCCAACCTGGCCCTGATCATCCCCAAAGGTGATTCATCCCCAGAAGCATCCCCAGCCATCCAGCTCAAAATTTGATTTGAAGTCGAATCTTCACTAACCCTGATGTGGTCAGAGGGTGAAAAGCAGATGGTCCTTGGATTTGGGGACCTGGACTTGCTGAGGGAGCAGAGTGTCTCACAGCCAAGCCATAATCTGGACCTGGAGATTAGCTCCCTGAGTCTTGCCGTGCAGGAAGGCCAAGGCTTCATCTTTATTGTGCTTTGTGTTTCCAGCACTCCTGCTCAGTCAGGGCCTGTACCACCAACGAAGGCAGAGCAGCATTTCCCCTCCACAGCCACCTCTGCCCAGAAAGGAGAAGCAAACACTGATTTGTGTAAGTCTGAGCTCAGTGCTCACAGAGTCTCAGTGCCAGGATCTCATCATTTGAGCTCATTGTATTAGGCCCAAGATAATAAACTGAAGTTGTCCTACGTGCCAGAAAAATTGGTGTTTCATCCCTCTGTCCACACAGGATGGGATCCCATCATTGGGTTGATGGCATTTGGGCTGGACATGGGAACTCATGGCTCCCACTTTCCATCTCTCTCCTTCTCCTGGAAATCCTGGAGCAGTGTGTAGCTTTTAATATTTTTCCTCTCCAGAGGAGCTGTTACCTCAAGGCTCTTTCCTTCCCAGGGGAAGTGAGGAGTGAAGAGAGGAAGGCACTGCACTGACTGATCACTCCCATCCAAAATGCCCCACTTGCCAAGATGAGGTTCTTGCTTCCAAAGTGTGACTGGCAAATAAGGGAGCACAGGCATTTGAAACAGCACTGCGAGAGAATCCCAGCTGTAAAATCACCCCAAATTCAAATCCTTTTCAAATCCAAAACTTCTTTACCAGAAGGCTTGTTGACCATTGGCACAGGCTGCCCAGGGCAGTGGTGGAGTCACCACCCCTGGAGGTGTTCAAACAACGTGTGGATGTGGCACTCGGGGACATGGTTGAGTGGTGACCATGGTGGGGTTGGACACTATGATCTCACGAGTCTTTTCCATGGTTCTGATTAGCAGTTCCATGATTCTGGTGACTGCCCTGCCCAAGCTGCCAGTGGCCCCTTTGCCAAGGGGAACCTGTTTTCCTCCCCCGGGCCAGAAAATTCCAAAGTGTTAACCCAAACCCTCCAGCTTCGAGATCCCTTCGCTCTTCCTATTTGCCTCCTGTGCTTTTATTTTAAGCTCCTGCCACTGTTTCCCTCATTTCTGTCCTCAAATGCTCCGGGGAGGAACTGCTTTCGCTCCCCCGCCGCCCGGACAATTCAGCACCTCCGCTTTGCCTTTTCTTGGCAAGGAGAAACCCAACAATTGCCACGAGTTTGGAGCTGACGTCACCCGGCCCGTGTCTGCGGCATTTATAGCACATATAGGTCACCGCGGGAAGTTGGTCCTCCCGGGGCCTGGAGCTGAAAACCAGCGTTTTCCAGCCCGGGCCGTGGGTCGTTGGGGTTTATTTTAGCCGGGACACCCAGCCCTCGTGCCCGTCGTGCCCCTTGTCCTGCCCTCCGAGGCAGCGGTTTCGCCAACCCCTCCCCGAGCTGGGTGTTGTGAGCTGTGTCCTCCCCGGTGTCCCAGGTCATAAGTGACTGATGTGAGCAGCACCCGGCTCCCTGGCAGTGCTTCCTTCGACCTGCCTCGGGCAGGGAACTGCTGGGGCTGGATTTCACCTGGAAGGTGAAATGTTTTGAGGGCTGTTGGGACAGCAGCAGCATCGGGAGGCAGCGAGGTTGGGCTGTGCTGGGGCTGGTGCCTTGTGGCTGCTGAGCTCTCGTGCAGGCTGAGCCTTTGCCTCAGCAAAGGAGTCTGGGCTCTGCAGGGCAGGGGGATGAACCCAAGGCACGTGGCTGAGCGAGGTAACACATCTGGAGCAGCACTTCCATCTGTGGGTAATGTGGAGAGTGTTCAACCATCTCACTCCACATCCCTGGTGTGGGGTGCCAGGGCTGGGTCCTGTTGGAAGAGGAGCCCAGGGGTCTTCTGCTCACAGACAACGGATAAAACCTCTGCTAAAAAAATAGGGTGTTTTTTGTTTTTTTTTTTTTTTCCTTTTAAGCAAGCTAATTCACCATTAAATGCCTTTTTCTTCTTGCTTTGTGCTGAAGCGAGCTCCTTGGCTTGGGCTCTCCGGTGGATTTGGGGGGGAGTCCCCTCCTGGCCTGTGCCGTGATTCCCACCCCAAAATTTGTTGTGTCCTTTCTCGCTCGTGAGCTGAGGCTCCTCGTGGGGGAATTGCTTTGATCGGGGGAAGTTCATCACGTACATTTGAAGCTGGCTGAGCAGGGAGTTTTTCAAAGAGTTACAAGCTGGTGCATGTAACAAATTTTAAGTTATAGTCTAGTGAACAAAGCAAATGGATTCTCCCCGGAGGGAGGCGAGCCCGGATCCCCTTTGAAACCCGCTTTAAACAACGCTCAAACTTGGATACCTGTGGCAACAGCACTGAAAGTCATAAATTCTATGAAAGCTGGGGTTGTCTCTTTAATTGGTGCTGTGGGGGAGCCGTTTGAAGGTTTAATTAGTTGCTGTGTGCAGGCAGCCCTGTGTCAGGGAGCCCCGAGTGGGCCGGGCAGGGTCTGGTGCCCTGGTGGGAGCAGGATGGTGCTGGGCTCCACTCTGCTCCTGGGGCTGGGGGGGTTGGCAGTGAAACCATGGAACCTGGGGCTGGGAAGAGCCAAGCACAGCGTCCCTGTTGCCCTGCTGTCGAGTCTCAGGCTGCAGAAACCCATTTGCAACTGTTTTCCATAGCGAGGAAAGCGGGAGCTTTTATTAGAAAGGCTGTATCACGTTTTCCTACAAACTGCCTCGAGTTCCCACATGTTTTGCTTATGCTGAAGTGGGAGTGCTGGGCTCCACTTGCTATTTTGATGGATGATGAAAGGCAGACGTGAGGTGTGCAATATGGGACTTGGTGTTTTGAACTGGCACTTGCCATGAAAGTGCCCAGGCTCCGGGCTGTGTGTTTGTGGGGTGTGTGACCCTCAAACTGA